TTATTTGGTAATGAGTAATGTGCGTTTAAGAGATTTTCGTAAAAGGACCTTGTATGAGAGCTATGACGAATTATATATAAAAACAAAATTTCAAAATTCTGTATCTATATCATTATTTGGTAATGAATATTGTGCATTTAAGTGATATTCTGTAGGGGACCTAGTATGAGAGCTATGACCAAATATGGACCGATCGTAAAACAATTTTATAGTGTAATTTATGTATATAAGAGCAATAATTTTGCTAAATGTATGATATCAATATTTGGTAATGAATTATGTGCGTTTAAGTGATTTTCGGGAGGGAACCTTATATGGGAGCTATGACCAAGGTTGGACTAATCGTGAAAAAATTTTGAAATAACATTTATGTGTACAAAAATAGTATTAATGCCAAATATTTTATGGGTATCACTATTTCCTAATGAGTTATGTGCCTTTAAGTGTTTTCTGAAAGGCACCTTCTATAGCAGCTATGATCAATTATGGACCGATAGGAAAACAATTTCACAGTAATATTTCTCTGTATATGAGCAATACTTCTGCCAAACTTTATAGTTAGTAATGAGTTATGAGCGTTTAAGTGATTTTCGGGAGGGGACCTTGTATGGGAGATATGACCAATTATGGACCGATCGGAAAAAAATTTCACAGTAACATTTCCGCGCATATGTGCAATACTTGTACCAAATTTTATATGGATATCTTAATTAAGTAATGATTTATGCGCGTTTAAGTGATTTTCGGGAGGGGACTTTGTATGGGAGCTATGACCAATTATGGACCGATCCAAAAAAATTTTCACAGTAATATTTCTATGCATGTGGGCAATTTTCATACCAAATTTTATATGGATATCTTAATTAAGTAATGATTTATGCGCGTTTAAGTGATTTTGGGGATGGGACCTTGTATGGGAGCTATGACCAATTTTTGACCGATCGGAAAAAACTTTCACAGTAATATTTCTATGCATATGGGCAATACTTATACCAAATTTTATATGGATATCTTAATTTAGTAATGAGTTATGCGCGTTTAAGTGATTTTCGGGAGGGGACCTTGTATGGGAGCTATGACCAATTATGGACCGATCGGAAAAAACTTTCACAGCAATATTTCTATGCATATGGGCAATACTTATACCAAATTTTGTATGGATATCTTAATTTAGTAATGAGTTATGCGCGTTTATGTGATTTTCGGGAGAGGACCTTGTATGGGAGCTATGACCAATTATGGACCGATCGGAAAACACTTTCTCAGTAATATTTCTATGCATATGGGCAATACTTATACCAAATTTTGTATGGATATCTTAATTTAGTAAGGAGTTATGCGCGTTTAAGTGATTTTCGGGAGGGGACCTTGTATGTGAGCTATGACCAATTTTGAACCGATCGGAAAAAATTTTCACAGTAATATTTCTATGCATATGGGCAATACTTATACCAAATTTTATATGGATATCTTAATTTAGTAACGAGTTATGCGCGTTTAAGTGATTTTCGGGAGGGGACCTTGTATGGGAGCTATGACCAATTTTGAACCGATCGGAAAAAATTTTCACAGTAATATTTCTATGCATATGGGCAATACTTATACCAAATTTTGTATGGATATCTTAATTTAGTAAGGAGTTATGCGCGTTTAAGTGATTTTCGGGAGGGGACCTTGTATGGGAGCTATGACTAATTTTGAACCGATCGGAAAAATTTTCACAGTAATATTTCTATGCATATGGGCAATACTTATACCAAATTTTGTATGGATATCTTAATTTAGTAATGAGTTATGCGCGTTTAAGTGATTTTCGGGAGGGGACCTTGTATGGGAGCTATGACCAATTTTGAACCGATCGGAAAAAATTTTCACAGTAATATTTCTATGCATATGGGCAATACTTATACCAAATTTTGTATGGATATCTTAATTTAGTAATGAGTTACGCGCGTTTATGTGATTTTCGGAAGGGGACCTTGTATGGGAGCTTTGACCAATTATGGACCGATCGGAAAAAACTTTCACAGTAATATTTCTGTGCATATGGGCAATACTTATACCAAATTTTATATGGATATCTTAATTTAGTAATGAGTTATGCGCGTTTAAGTGATTTTCGGGAGGGGGCCTTGTATGGGAGCTATGACCAATTATGGACCGATCGGAAAACACTTTCGCAGTAATATTTCTATGCACATGGGCAATACTTATACCAAATTTTGTATGGATATCTTAATTTAGTAATGAGTTATGCGCGTTTAAGTGATTTTCGGGAGGGGACCTTGTATGGGAGCTATGTCCAATTATGGACCGATCCAGAAAATTTTTCTCTGAGAGAATTCTATTGACATAAGATTTTAATTTGTAAAATTTTGTGAAGATATCGACATTGTGATGGAAGTTATTAACGAAAAACCCATTTTCCGGGAATATGTACTTTTGTATGGGAGGTATATGAAATTGTGGACCGATTCTGGCAATTTTCTGCACGGATCAAGATCTTGTGTAGAAACGAATGTATGGTGATTTTCATGGAATTATCTTGCATAGTTTTGGAGAAAATTACATTAGAATGTGAAAAAAATGCTTATTTTTTTCGAGGTTGTTTTAAATTTTGATTCATAACTTTTCCCGATGTGAACCGATATTGCTCATTTTCAATACCAAACTGTACCGGATAATAATGAATATTTGGGTGAATTTGGTTAAATTATATTGCTTCGTTTTAACGTGAGCGTGTTTTACACAGACAGACAGACGGACGGACGGACGGACAGACGGACATAGCTAAATCGATTCAGAATTTCATAAGGACCCAGAATATATATACTTTGTTGGGTCTCAGATGAATATTTCTTGGTGTTACACACGGAATGACAAAGTTATATATACCCTCTATCACCACTGATGGTGGTGGAGGGTATAAAAAGTAACAGAAAATACTCAATTAAATTAAAGTTCCATTCACTCAAGTCCCTACTTAGTTTTATGTTTCTAGGCTCATTGTAACAGAAAAATCAAAAAGTACCAGTTGAAGAATAAAAAATACCAAAATATCCCCTTCTAGGTTCAATATTAAAGAAAATTCAAAAAGTATCTTTTGAAGAACAAATAAATACCAAAATATCCCCTTAATGCTTAATTTCATGTTCCTAATTATAATATTATAAAAAATTAAAAAGTACCTCTGAAAAAATGAAAAACTACCTAAAAATCCCCTTTTATAGATTCTTAATCAATCTGGGCTCTAAGTATATGTTTAATTTCATGTTTCTAGGATCAATATTATTAAAAAAGCTCAAAAAGTTCCAGTTAAAAAAACAAAAAATGTTCCAAAAAATAGTCCTTTGTATTGGAGTTCCAAGTACCACCTCATTAGCATATTTAATAATACTAATCTTCCCAATACATAGAAAACAATGTTTTATGTATAAAGTACCAGAAAAAGGTAGTAGAACGTCCCAATATCCAAAAAGTACTAAATTCATAATTTTATTAAAGAAGTCAAAAATATTTTTGTAATGTTCACTATTTTAAAAGATACATGGGACAAAAAATTACTAAAATACAGTTTTTACCTGTTTATTCCTTAAAGGGTCCGTATTTAAAAAAAGTACCAGACACCTGACCGTTTATTTTTTATGTACGACGGCAAGCTTTAAACTGTTTTTGTATCTGTTCTAGTTTAGTAGATTGAGGTTACCGAATTTATCCTTTTTTAACCCCTAAACATTCGAATTATGGTGGGAGTCTGGGTCTATTTGATGGAAGTCCAATCTCCAGTACAAATTTCTGCGATAATGATATCAGACAGTCAGTAACATTAGAATTTTATATATACACTAGCTATACCCAGTGTGCTTTGCTACCCTAAAAGCAATATGTATAAATAAAAAACCCACTTAACGATTTTGAAGATTCTAACTACAATAGTTTTCCAGATTTACAATATGTTACATATGAGAGATATCAAGCAAATTATTGCAAGTTCGCCTGTTTCTATCTATCGCCAATTTCTATCTATCTATAAAAATTTGACGAATATAAGAGTTTCCAAGATACACGAAATTTTGTAATTAATTCATATATGTGGTGCCAAGCCACCCATTGAAAGTCCGCCCGTTATTCTCTAAGTGTTCCCATGAATGTCAAAGTTCTTCAAGTAAAATTTGAAGATTCTAGCTCTAATAGTTTCTCAGTGGGGGCTTCAAGCTCCCCAGATGAAAGCCCGCACTTTTTCCCCAAAATGATCAGATGAATATTAAAATAATTTGTGCAAAATTTTAAGAATCAAGTTCTATTAGTTTCCCAGATAAACGAAATCTTATATTTAATTCATATGGGAGGTGCAAAGTTCCCCATTGAAAGTCCGCCCGTTATACTCTAATTGTTCAGATGAATGTCAAAATTCTTCAATAAAATTTGAAGATTGTAGCTTTAATAGTTTCTCAGATATTCGAATTTTTCTATTTAATTCATATGGGGGCTCAAGCCCCCGAGATGAAAGTCCGCTTTTTTTCCTCCAAACTGTTCAGATGAATATTTAAGTTCTTCGTGCAAATTTGAAGAATTTAAAATTAGTTTCCCAGATAAACGAATTTTTGTATTTAATTAATATGGGAGGTGCCGCTTCCCTTATGGGTAGTCCGCCAATTTATACCCCAAAATGTTTAAATGGACTTTAAAGTTATTCGTGCAAAATTTTAAGATTCTAACTGTAATAGTTTCCAAGATAAACGAATTTTTTTATTTAATTTATATGGGAGGTGCCACGCCCCCTAATGCTAGTCCGCCTACTTTTTGTCCTAAATAATCATATGGAAAGTGGCTTCGACATTCGTTTTTATATATATAGATATAGATGGACAAAAATATACATATAGATGGACAATAATCTAAATATATACTTTTGCTAAATGAAACTTAATTCTATAAATGAAATGTTTTAAATAAAACACGTGCATTTCTCAATTTCAAACATTTATTAAGATCTAATTATGTACTTTTTAAATTCGTAATTTATTAGAATTATTATAAAATTCCTCCCTCCCCCATTCAACTAATCAATTTGCGTTATGGAGGAATCATCGGGGCTCGTGCAACGACTACTATTACCATCCGTACGATATTTAATCGAATCGATAATTTCCACATCTATATCACGTTCACGATTTGAACTCTCATCGAGATCATTATCATCAGAATTCGCCACCGAATGACGTTCATCCGATTCGGCTTCACAATCATTATCCGATTTATTATCAGTTTCGAGAACATCATTGTTCAGATGATGATTAAGACTTTCGTTTTGCGCTTGAGCTATTAAATCTCTGGCCGCAAATTGACTATATAGACGAGGTAAATGTTTGTAACATATAGTTGGCATTACATTTGGCTATATTGGGTTGATTCTCTTTACTTTCACCGAAATCATAATATTTGGCATAGTTTTCGAATTTGTTAACGGCCGAAGCAGTTACTGCACTAGCACTAGAGCTGAGATTTATCGCATCTGCGGTAGGAGTGGCGGAGGGAGTATGTTGTAGGGATGAGATCGTTTTCAAGTCATTACATCGAGGAGTGGGTACTGTAAAAGCTGAACCATGGCGATGTTTGTTTGGTAATGTAATGGTATGCGAAGCTGGTGGAGAATTCGTGGTTTCATTGGCAGTGGTGGTATTCTCCGCACTAGCTAAGGGTGATATATTTTCTTTTTTACGATCGTATATATGACCCGAAACTCTGAGATCAATAAAGAAGTGTAAAGGATCTATACCATAGGGAGGATACAAAGGTGGATACCAAACAGGAGGTGGTGGTGGTAATACTAAATCTTGTGGTGGCAGTGAGGCGGCTGGTGGTGTGTTCTGTAAGGTGCTGTCTACTGTACCGCCTCCTAAAGAGGGATTTGTGTTATTGTTGCCATTATCTGCATCTCTTTCAGTGGTTTTGGTATTCGCTATAAGTTGTTTAATGTCGGTGGTTTCTTTATTTGCCTCAGTTTCCAGTTTACGATATTTGTTAGCCAAATGTTGCAAGTACGGCTTGTGCGTAGTCAATTCCAAAGGTTTCTCTGCGGCATTAAGTTGTGGCAATGGTGGTTGTAGTTGTTGTTGTTGAGATTTTTCCAATAAAGTTTCATTTTCTTTAAAGTATGAGCGTTGTTGAGACCAAGTTCTCTTACGAGGTCTTCTCGCTAAAGCTGCCGAATGTTGCAGTTGAAGATTGCGTACATTTTCTTGATTACGAGCTGCCACCAAGGAGCGCAACATATCGCTGAAGAAGAAATTATTAGGGCCCATAGGAGCTGAATAGAGGTAAGGGGGCGTGGCTGCCATTAAACGGCTTACAAAATCTTGATTTCTCATTTCATGTATATTCGATTTTCTTGGAGGTGTTGGAGTATTTTGGGTGGTGGTGGTGGCATTGGTGTTATTCGCATTTGAATTATTTGTATCCTTAGGGGATTTAATTTGTTGTTGTTGTTGATGCTGCTGGTGTTGCTGCATTTGCTGGTGTCTTTGTTGTTGCTGCTGCTGCTGTTGTTGTTCTTCAGACATGTTTCTAGCTGCTTGCTGTGTTTAGCTGGCAGCTTTCTTTCTACTTTCCTGTTTCCTATTTGTTTAGTACAAATCTGCAATTAAAACCACAAATGGAAAAATCTGTTTAAAATGTCTTTTTAAATGAATTTCTTGTAAAATGTTTTCATGTTTTTTTTATTCTTGCATATTTGTTAATGTAAATGTAAAATGCAAACAATAGACAAAAACAGAAAAAAAAAACATTTATATTCACTTAATTCCATTTGTCTTTCAATTTCATCTTTTATTATCCTGGGGCTGTCTTAACGAACACGCAGAAGGTGGTTCTGGGAATTATAAGTCTTATTGTTTTCTTTTATTTATTTTGAAATAAAGAAGACTTTACTTAGTTTGTTAATAAAATTTTATTATATTGAAATCCTTAAAAACTTAGCAAATGAAGAACTTTTAATTTTTTGCATAGTGTTTCTTAATTTCCTAAATTTTAAACTATTTCCTTCCGTATTTTTACAAAAAGTAGAAAGCTGGACGGAGATACATCTTAAATCTAAACCACCACGCGTAATACTAAAGGTCAAAGTTCAGTTAACTCCGACGGACCTTAGCCAAATATTAGTCTTACAAAATCGTTTCAAATTTAAATAAATATATATTTAACGTAATATCCTTTTAACTCAATGGTTTATTGTCAACTAAAAGAGCTTATTTGGTTTATTTTTTCCCTTAAAATATTTCATTATCTGTCTTAATTTTTTATGCAACAAATCCATGTTTGCATTATTTTGTCTTCTTTAAAGACAAATAATAAGTAATTTTTAATAAGTTTGTTTGTGCAATATTTCTTAGTTGTTAAAGAAAAAAACATAATTTCTATTTCAAAACTTAACGCATATTTTTCCAAGTGCCAACATGGAATAAAAAATGTTATTTGTCGGCAATAAAAACTTTTCTTATGAAAAATAAATACGCAAAGAAAACTTTAAAAATAGGGATATTAAATGAGAAATAATTGTACAATTATAGTTAAGAAATCCACAATTAAAACGGTCGCCAACAACCGCAATATTTAGTGAGTTAGTTAGTTAGATAGATAGATAGATAGATAGATAGATAGATAGATAGATAGATAGATAGATAGATAGATAGATAGATAGATAGATAGATAGATAGATAGATAGATAGATAGATAGATAGATAGATAGATAGATAGATAGATAGATAGATAGATAGATAGATAGATAGATAGATAGATAGATAGATAGATAGATAGATAGATAGATAGATAGATAGATAGATAGATAGATAGATAGATAGATAGATAGATAGATAGATAGATAGATAGATAGATAGATAGATAGATAGATAGATAGATAGATAGATAGATAGATAGATAGATAGATAGATAGATAGATAGATAGATAGATAGATAGATAGATAGATAGATAGATAGATAGATAGATAGATAGATAGATAGATAGATAGATAGATAGATAGATAGATAGATAGATAGATAGATAGATAGATAGATAGATAGATAGATAGATAGATAGATAGATAGATAGATAGATAGATAGATAGATAGATAGATAGATAGATAGATAGATAGATAGATAGATAGATAGATAGATAGATAGATAGATAGATAGATAGATAGATAGATAGATAGATAGATAGATAGATAGATAGATAGATAGATAGATAGATAGATAGATAGATAGATAGATAGATAGATAGATAGATAGATAGATAGATAGATAGATAGATAGATAGATAGATAGATAGATAGATAGATAGATAGATAGATAGATAGATAGATAGATAGATAGATAGATAGATAGATAGATAGATAGATAGATAGATAGATAGATAGATAGATAGATAGATAGATAGATAGATAGATAGATAGATAGATAGATAGATAGATAGATAGATAGATAGATAGATAGATAGATAGATAGATAGATAGATAGATAGATAGATAGATAGATAGATAGATAGATAGATAGATAGATAGATAGATAGATAGATAGATAGATAGATAGATAGATAGATAGATAGATAGATAGATAGATAGATAGATAGATAGATAGATAGATAGATAGATAGATAGATAGATAGATAGATAGATAGATAGATAGATAGATAGATAGATAGATAGATAGATAGATAGATAGATAGATAGATAGATAGATAGATAGATAGATAGATAGATAGATAGATAGATAGATAGATAGATAGATAGATAGATAGATAGATAGATAGATAGATAGATAGAGATAATAGTTACAAGGTCTCAGGTTAAATGGCTAGAAATTAGGTTTTACGACAAACTTTTGGAATTTTGCTGGATGTAACTCGTGGGTATACTAGGTTCAATCAGAGGAATTTGCCATTTCTCCGATTGGAGAGCATAGTGAGGATACTTATTAAATTTTCTTCTTTTTCAATCTGAATCCATTTACTTCAATTGACTTATTCCCTTGGGCGTCAGTATAGTTCAAATCCTTTCCCTTTTCCTGTTCGTTTTGATTTAATTTCTTATTCTCTATTATTGATTTCTCACTTTCTCTGAAGGTAATATTTTAAAGATAAATTCCATAAGCCAGCCTTGATAACATTCTTTTTACAAAATTATGTATGGAAATCTTGATGAGTTTTAAGATTTCAAAGTTGTTCTGAAAAATAGTAGGTTTTTTTTCGTGGAAATTGCAATTTTTTAGTCCATCAGATCCCGCTTATAGTTAAAAATCATCTAGTGGCGTTATACATACACACAGACTTATATTGACGGCCTTTTTTTCGAAAATCGTTCTAAATTACCTACAAATTTCATATTTAAAATTTAATAAAAACATTCTCTTTAGATTTTTTTTACTTTTACTCAAACCCAGTACATCCTTATACAACTACCCCGCAACTCAAGTCTCTAATTTCAATCCTTCAAATGAATGAATAAGCTTAATTAGCATAATCTAATTTAAAATTGTTGTATAAAGTGTCGCATTTTTAGTTCTATAGAAATTCATCATGAAAAATAACAAACAGGAATTAAAACAAAATATCATAACATACCGCAAAAGTTTATTTTTTTAACAAAATGAAAAAACAATAAAAAATTTGAATATTTTAAAATTGTCAAAAAATGTAATGATATACTTTTTTTGGAGGGGGATAATAGAAGATGTATGTACATATAATGTAAACAAATGACAGAGGTTCAAAAACGCTTATATTGTTAAAAGTTAGGATTTTGTAAAGTTTTAATATACAAACTTCGCCCGGGAACAATAAAGGGCAAGGCGAAGAAAGGCGTGTGTACACCTTGATTCTTAGATACATGTTTTATTTTAAACATTACCAGTTGAGAATCTCTGATTAGAAGTTTACAACATTGCTGCAGGATATTTGTGGCAGCTTGAAAAAATATCAACAAAACTTTTTTTTACTTTTATTATTAATGTGAATATAAAAGAGCGTTTAAAATTCCAAAGTGTGGCAACAGATTGTTAGAGAATTAAAACATATTTTTTTCCGAAGTGGTATGGTTGGTTTGTTTGTTTAATTGAAAGTTGGCAGTTAGAATATCACAGATAGCTGCTGACTGGTTGGCTGGCGACGTTATTATTCTATACTAAAGGAAAATGTTTTTCAATTTTGTTCAATTTACATACTAAAACAAAACTCTATGTCCTTGTTAATACTCACACTTTAAAAGGCTTATTAAAAATAAAACATGTACTATTTAGTAGAAATTTCAGCCGATTTCATTATGTAAAGTATGTGAATGTGAATGTTTTTTGCAATATTGAGTTGTCAAAAGTTGCTAACACTTGTTTTGTTTATTTTATATTATTTTTTTGAACAAAAATGGAAACCACTGACACTCAGCGGTAGTATATACATACATATCGTCACCTAAAACGCAAACGGCCCTATCTAACATTTTTAAAATTTTACAGGAGAAGCATAAAACTATTGAAATTGAAAAGTTTGTTTCTATCAACGCGATTTATTTGTAGTGAATCAAAAAATTGTTTAATAGTGAAACCTATTAGTTATTATGATAGTTGACAATGGCGTATATAAAAATGGATAAATTGGACTTTTTACCTATAATATTTAAATGTTTTTGTAGATAGGGCCTTTTGTTTTTTGTCAATGAAATCGCTAATTTTGGTCGGAGGAGTCCAATTTTTTGTGAGGACATATGTTTTGATGCAATACATTATAATCAACAATAAAATCGATTTTTAATTTTTGGTTAGTTAAGGCCGTTTGCGTTTCAGGTGACGATATGTACATATACATATATGAGATTTTTAACACTTTATGTTGGGTTATTTGTCGTCAAAATTTTACATTTATAGAAAAAAATGTTTACCTTATATTAATTAAGCATGTTTTGTTATTCAAATTTAGAATTTTTTATCATATTTTACATTACTCAATTTAAAATGTTTGCATAAAAGCTCATACAGTTGTGAAAAAGTAAATAGCACATAACATATGTATTCTTTTATGCTTATCTTAACAAAGTTCCATAGTTACTATTATTCCAATTTCATAGTTATTTACTATATACTAATATAGTCCACTATATATCAGCAATATATAATTTCCTTATTTGTGTATTCCTTTTTTTGTCTATCTGGAACTTTTTGAAGCCAGCTAGAAAGCTGAAAGGTGGCATGAATATAGCAAAATACCTAGGCCGAATACTAACGTAGCCGAATTTGTTTATATTAGACCTATGGGCCTATAATTAAAAGCAAAAAGGGACGTGGCAAAATTCAGTGCCAATATGTTTGAAAATTGGCATACGTGTTATACGGACCAAAGGGAAGATGAACACCAGTGTGACCAGGTCTCAAAAAATGTTGCGGCTAAATCCCATCCAAAATAATGCTAGAAAAAATGCTAAATTGATTTTAAAATGCCAAAAAGAATGCTAAAATTTTTTAAGTGTTTTTATGAACAATTCATATTAATTTGTAACAAAAAAATTCATTGTAATTTATAACAAGTAAGAAAGTATATTCTGCCGTGGTTGACCATATGAGTATAAAATTTGATTTATTTTTCGTAATAAAGC